CCTTTACCTGGGTCGCTGGAGACCAGCACACTGGCCCGGTCGGTGCCCCCGGCGGGAGCATCGCTCGGGAGCTTCACTGCCGCCGCACCTGCTCCTCCTTGCCGACACCGCCAGCTCGCGCGCGCGCATTCACGCCCTGCGCCCTCGCGCCCCGCCCAGCACAGAGCCGCTTTCAGAACCTCTCACACACACACACACACACCCGAGGCCGGTGAGGTCACGGCTTGAACTCACCTGCAGGCGCGCGGTTGCCGCTCTGGACCCCGGGCACAGCAGGCGCACCGGGCGCACCGGGCACTCCCGGAGCACAGAGCGCTCGCCCGTGATTCAGCGCCTTTCCCCGCGCGGTTGCCCCGGTAACGCCCGCGCACGCGTACACGCCGCTCCGTGCCCCGCTGCACCTGAGACGGGGACACCACGGCCTCCCTCGTTCTGGAACCGGCTGTTTCCGGAGCAGCCTCGTGCCACCTTTTTTTTTTTTTTTTCCAAGACAGAAAAGTTTATTTGCGAAAGGACCAGGTGAGCAGGAAAGGGAGAAGGAAGGCGAAGCACCTCCGGAGAGAAAGCCGGCAGGTGGGGTGCCTCTCAAAAGAGGAGGGAGAGAGAGACACCAAAGGTTTGAGGAAGGGACTTGGGATTTTAACCATTCCCTGACCCCTCCTTTTTGGGCTGGGAACTTACAGGTAACACGTTCCCCATTGGTGGTCTCTTGGTTAGAAAACGGGTGGGCAGGGCCTCGGCGCCGTGGCTTAGCGGCTAAAGTCCTCCCCTTGAACGCACCAGGATCCCATATGGGCGCCGGTTCTAATCCCGGCAGCTCCACTTCCCATCCAGCTCCCTGCTTGTGGCCTGGGAAAGCAGTTGAGGATGGCCCAAGACTTTGGAACCCTGCACCCATGTGGGAGACCCGGAAGAGGTTCCTGGTTCCCAGCTTCGAATCGGCATAGCACTGGCCGTTTTTGTGGTCACTTGGGGGAGTGAATCACCAGACGGAAGATCCTCCTCTCTTGTAATTAAAAAAAAAGAAAATGCTGAAGGTGTGGCCAAGCAGCAGGCCTGGATGGTCTCAGACACCCCCCCCCTTAAGTCCCACATCCTACTTCTGTAGGGGTAAGGGGCGACGATGTCTTCTGGCTACTTCCTGCTGAAATTGGGACGCAATTTGGGTAAGGAGCTGTAAGGACTTATTCCAATATCCCACCCTGGACCCTGCGCCATTCCTTCTTCCTCACAGCTCACGAAATTCCCGCCAGTCTAGTCATCCACCAATCAGATGTAACCTGGCATTCCACCTGAGAATCCCACCCCCAACCTCCCAGCCCCTTCCCCAACCCCGCCCACTCACCAATCATCCCCAGGCACTAATCCCCTGGGGCCTAACCACAAACCCTCCCAATCCCCGTCCCCCACATCTGGCAAACAAAAAAGGCCCCCAGGTGCGGCTCTCTGTCTTTTTTGCTCTTCCCCTCTTTCCTCCTTCTGGCCCCCTTGCCCCCTTCCTGCCCACTGGAATAAACCTTCTAAAATACCTCGTTGCATATGGTGTTTTCAGCTAACGGTAAAGAACCAGGTTGTGGGAATTAGCTGCACATAAAATATCATATCGTATGAACTAGAACTCAACCACTGTTTTAAATAACTAACACATACAGACCTTGTGAAGTCTTCTCTCGGTTGAGTTGGGCCACGTGGCTCCCATCTAAGTCTCTTTTTTCACACCCCACGTTGGACACCAGGGAAAATATGTTATCAGAAATGCCCGGTGGGTTCTTTCCTCAGCTTAGTATAGAAATAAAAAGCCAGGAATCTATTGCAGACAGAAAAGTTTATTTGCGAAGGGAACAGGTGAGCAGGGAAGGGAGAGAAAGCCGGAAGGTGGGGTGCCTCTCGAAAGAGGAGGGAGAGACACCCTCGTGCCACCTCTTGCTTTTACTCAGCCTGACTGCTCTAGGAAGACGAGGCGCGCTGAAGGGGCCAGAGACTCCAGCCACACAGGTCCTTTTCCCTGTGGAGTCCTTCTGACGCCCTTCTGTCACTTTGCATTTCATGTGCTGCCTGCGGGCCGAGCCAAGATGCCCCAATTCCAAACCTTGTAAGGTAGTCGTGGCCTCATGGATCTTGTATATACTTGCACCTGAGACGGGTGGTAATCTGAACCACAGGAAACGTGTGGAAGCCTCCTGCTTGCGTTTCTGCTGTCTTCTAACGCAGATACGGAAGCACTTAGAAATGATACACGGCAGAAGCCTGGCGCAGCACTTAAGAGTCGTAGATCTGAAAAATAAGCCCCACTAGGATACTCAGGCCAGTTACTTAAACCGCAGCAAACCTGTAGCCTGGGAAGGCTGAGATAATGAGTACTTACAGCGGATGACAGGAATCAAAGAATGCACGCCAAAGGGATAAACCTATATCCAGGACTCACCAGGACATCTCACTCCAGACCGAAGATGGAGTGAGAGGCAAAGCTAACAGCAAATACCATCTGCTCTACAACCAGGCAAGTCTAGAGCCACTGCTTTCCATCCCATCACTGTGCCATTGCCATCCAGAACCAGGAACACCATTGTAAACTCACCTCCTGCTGACAGCACCCAATCCTACATACCTAGTTAATCCCAGGTGCTCCCAATATGCTTCCGAAGCCACAACCAGCAGGCGTCCTTCCCATTCTGACTCTCCTCGGAATCCTTGCACAGAGACCACGCCCTCCCAGACACTTCCTCCTCCCTCTCACCTGGCATTCCTGGGTGATCCCAATGTACCCGGTCAATAAATCCGACGTGTCCCTGGTGGCCCTGGACCTTTATGTCTGTATTGAAGTGTCTATGTGGGTCTAACCTGACCGTGTTCTGCCTCCCTGGGACCCAGACTCCAGGTCTCTTCAGTGGACCTTCAGTGAGTTCCCACGTCACAAAGCCAAATGCAACAACAGGTACTAATGTCTCCTTAGTACAGCTTTTCTCAACTTTGTCTGCTTGGGCTAATAGGCACCAGCTGGAACATGTGCTCAATAACAGCCAGTTCTTTTAACCTGCTGAGGCTCATCAAGGTTGAAGAACATCCACGTCATGCCAAAAATGGTGGCTAGCCTAATGAAAGCACTGCCTGCCTGGAATTTCACTAGCAATACTGGAAAAGCCAGCAAGCTACTATACATCAGAATACCTTGAGAGTCCCAGTAGAAAGAACAGATAGTGTTCAGACTCTAGCATTTCTATAAATATACCTTGGGAATGGCACCTGCATCTGAACATGAAATTCATGTTTCCCATACAATGTATACACATAGCCTGAAGGCAGTTTTGTTCAGTACTTTTAGAATGCCTGCACTTTTACAATACTGACATGAAGACTGGGAGAGCTGCAACTCACTGACTCACAATGGCCAGTGCTGGACCAGACTGAAGCTGCCACGAACTCAATCCAGTTCTCCCACAAGGTAGGCAGGGACACAATTACAACATCCACCACCTGCTGCATCCCGGAGTCTGCAATCAGAGGAAGCTGGGCTCAGGAGCCAGCGCAAAAGCTCAAGCCAGGCACAGCATAGGACACAGGTGTCTAAACCCGCAGCTGAAACACCAGGTCAAACACGGGCACCTACTGCAGCCTAGCATAAAAGGTCAGGTGTGGACGTTACCAACAGGACTGCAAAATTCACCAGATTTTGGAGCCATCTGGATTTCCAAATCGGGGATACTCAGTCTGTACCCAGCTGATTCTTTCACTGTTTGAGAAGAATTGCCCAAGAAATACTGAAAGAGGTTTGATTTTTGCTCACCATTTCATTTACAACTAGTTTGATTTTATCCTCGTGATAAACGAAGGTTGTCATGTAGATGTTCTGAGGTACATAAAGGAAATGATATTCTCGTGGTGTTAAATCCTTTATTTAACACAATACTCCAGACTGCACATCACTTTCACCCATCTCAGGGTTTTTGGTAATGTGATGTGAGGTACAGTTCTTTAGCTTCTTCGGAGTGAATCAACAATTTATGCCATAGTCACCTACTTCCCAAAGAAGTTACCTCAATAAAGCTATGCTATTAAAAGTTAATGATTCTAAATGTTTATTGCTTAATCATTAAAATGACAAACATAAAACTTCTCCACTGTCATTACACAGGGAAAATTATGAATTAATTTTTGCATTCCTGATGAAAATAAGGTTCTGTCACTTCTCATTCAAATTATTCCAATTGACCTTGTTTTCTAAGGAAGCAGATATATTCTTGGCATCCCTGGTATAATAAAAAGCAACATGGAAGGGCTGGCAGGGTGGCATAGCAGGCTAACCCTCAGCCCTAGTGCTGGCATCCCATATGGGCACTCGTTCATGTCCTAGCTGCTCCACTTCCCAAGCACCTCCCTGCTTATGACATGGAAAAGCAGTGGAGGATGGCTGAACTCCTTAGGCTCCTGCACCTACATGGGAGACCTGAAGAAGCTCCTGGCTCCTGGCTTTGGATCGGTTTTCTTACCATTGTGGCCATTTGGCGAGTGACCCAGCAGATGGAAGATCTTTCTGTCTCTCCTGCCTCTGTAAAATCTGACTTTCAAATAAAAATAAATAAAATTGTAATAAAGAAATGCAGCAACAACATGGAAAGCAACTTTCTTCCACACCAAGGAGAGGCAGTGGCAGCGGAGACGGCATCAACTTTAATCCCATCATGGACAAAAGAACAGCAGTAACCTGTACAAGTAAACCTTCTTTAAAGCACATTTAAAAATACTCTTTATTCACTCCCTATAAAATACTTCCATTTTATAAGTAAGCAAAACTTAAAAGCCTATTTCTTGTCACATTTTTCTCTTAGAAAAAAACTGATTTTAATTAAGCTGGCTTTAATTATCAAATGGAACTTTGCCTCTGTGAGCAATATAATTATAAACGTAAACTAGAAAAGAGCTTCGGGGATTTAGATGATAAGGGTACCCCTACAGCTGATAAATCCTGCAGGCAGCCGACAGAAACACTTGGAGATGACGGGTCAGTTGTCGGCACATGATGGTACTTTCACATTTCAGAGCATCAAAGTTTGCAGACTTTAACTAACAGATCCAGTTCCAAAACTCAGTAACCTCTTTTTAATTCAAATTCATTTTTAAGATGTATTTAAAATACCATTATTTTGGTGCCTGATTAAGAAAAAAAAAAGCTACAAAGGTTAGCCCCCAGACAATGAGGCCCTGCTTGGAATTCCATTAGGTTAGCAGCTTTGAGCGCTGGTAAAAGCTCCAACTGGCTTTGTGTCCTTTAATTTAAATGCCTCATGTTCTGAATATAGGCATGCTTTAGAAAATATTCAACTCTCAATTCTGAAGATACAACTCACAAAAGTAAACCTTAGTTTTTCACCCATAACAATGATCCAGTATCTCAATTTGTCAATATGTCAAAATTTCCTTTCCTGACAGAAATTACATTTGCAAAATCTTAAAACTCCTAGTTGAACAGTTTTTTACAATATGACATCCAAGTTGCACAGAAGGCCCCAGTGATCACTAGGAAATTTACCACAGTCCAGTTTTTCCAACCCAAGGAGGTCCAAACTTCGGGGAATAATGTGGCCCTCGTCTGCTGCTGCTCTGAAGAATATCCGATCAAAGCGCAGCTTGCAAGGAGCAGCTATGCCCAGGTTAGAGTTCACCCGGGTGTCCCATGTATACTGGCAATGCTTAGGTTTGCCCAGAAACTCCCAGACATCCAAAATGTTGTTGGGTAGACCACCACATTTGGTTACCTAAAAAGAAAAAGAATACTCTGTGAGACTTCTACTCTTCTCTGTCTCATTTTTCAAAGATGTTTTATTTGAAAGGCAGAATTAAAGAGAGAACAGATACACCGGGAGATCTTCCATCTTCTGGTTTACTTCCCAAGTGACTACAATAGCCAGGGATGGGCCAGGCCCAAGGCAGGAGCCAGGAAGTCTCTCTGGGTCTCCTACATGGATGGAAGGGGTCGAAGGGTTTGGGCCATCTTCCACTGTTTTCCCAGGTACATTAATAGGGAGCTGGGTTACAAGTTTCCCAGCCACTCCACTTCCAATCCAGCTCCCTGCTAATGGCCTGGGAAAAGCGGCAGAAGGCGCGAGCATCTGGGCTCCTTCCCACCACCCAGGTGGAAGACCTGGAAGCCAGCGCTGGCTGTTGCGGCCCTGGGGGGAGTAAACCACAGAGGATGGAAGAGCTCTTGTCTCTCCCTTTCTCTCTGTAACTTTGCCTTCTAAATAAAATAAATTAGATGTCCTGGTTATTATCGGATATAAGCACAGCATTTCGAATCAGAAAGTTAGAAACTATTAGTATACAAAGGTAAAATAGCTTTATTCTAAAAAGCATTTTTATAGCCAGTAGGTAATATAAAATATCAATATAGCCAAAGGTATTTGGAATTTGTCCCTTGTTTTCTGCCATAAACAGGCTCCTAACTGTGGGCATCAGATAAAACTTGCAAGGCTGAATACGCACTGGGCAGTTATCACTATTTGGAGTATTTCAGTCCAGAAAGTGAATACAAGGCAAAACTGTTACTCTACATTAGTCTGTAATTCAGAAGGCCGCATTTATACGAGCCAATGTTGTCAAGTGCCCTAAGAGTATCATTTTGAATGTATCAGCAATATTATTTCTCCCTTCTCCCGTTCACACTTCAACATTTAAAACTGTTTGGCAAAATATTCAGAAAACTTTCTCATTGTAACCATTTGTAAGCATAAAGTTCTGTGGCATTATGTATATTCACACTCCGTACAAACACCACCATCCATCTCCAGGACTTCATCTTCTCCAACTGAGATTCTGCACGTTAACTCTGAGTTCTCCATATCCTGTGCTCTCTGCCCCTGGCTACCACAATTCTACCTTCAGTCTCTACAAACTGGAGTTCATATAAGAAAATTCTTGTGTTTTTTTTTTTTTAGCTTTTTGGTTGGCTTCATTCACTTTACATGTCTTTAGCAGTCGTTCAGGCTGCAGCACGTATCAACACTTCCTTCCTGGTTTAGGCTGGGCAGCATGCACTGTATGCACACACTGTACTGGGTTTACTCATCCTTCTGCCAGTAATACCTGGATTGTTTCCAGCTTTCGGTTAATGGAAATAATTGTGGTACAACAGACTAATTGTTTAAAAGTCCCTGTTTCAAATTTTTTACAAAAAAGGAAAAAAACAAAAACAGGTGTAGAACTGCTGTATTAACTGGTAATTCCACATTTATGGTTTAAGGTCCTGAAAAATCCTGACCTATTTCAAATAAAGTAAGAGGAAAAAGACTATTTCAAATCTCAGCATGGTGATGGAAGAAAAAAAAAATCCTGTAAGAGAGAACAGAAGGAAGCTGGCACAGACAGCTGACCTTCCACCCGTGGCACCAACAGCCACATGAACGCCTATTTGTATTCCAGCTGCTCTACTTTTTTTTTTTTAAGATTTACTTATTTTTATTGGAAAGTCAGATATACAAAGAGGAGACACAGAGAGGAAGATCTTCCATCTGCTGATTCACTCCCCAAGTGGTCAAAACGGCCAGAACTGAGCCTACCCAAAGCCAGTAGCTAGGAGCTTCTTCTAGGTCTCCCACACAGGTGCAGGAGCCCAAGGCTTTGGACCATCCTCGACTGCTTTCCCAGGTCACAAACAGGGGGCTGGATGGCAAGTGGGGCTGCTGAGACACGAACCAGGACTTTAGCCACTAGGCTACTGCGCCAGGCCCCCAGCTGCTATACTTGTAATCCAACTCCACGCTAATACACCTAGGAAAGCAGGCCCAAGTGCTTGAGTCCCACCTCCATTTGGGAGATCTAGATGCAGTTCCTGGCTTCAGACCAGCCCACCTCTGGCCATTAGTCATGCAGGGAGTGAACCAGCAGATGAAAGATCTTTGTCTCTCTCTCTTATCTGTCTATAACTCTTTCAAATAGACAAATCTTTTAAAAAAAAAAAAAAAGAAAAAGAGAGAAAGACTTTGAAAGAGAACTATAAATGGTTCTCATCTTGCAACTAGGAGTACTGCAAATACATTCAACCTTTTCTAAGCTCTTCTAATCAGTACTGTTTTTCTACACTCCCCTTCTTAATCCAATGGACACGTGCATACTGCTTTGCTGTCTAGTTCATACGCAGTATGTGTTTTCTCCCAATAATGTAAGAGTTTCTTCCACCGCAGGCATAAACACGCTAAATAATTGTTGAATTGCATCTGGAAGGTCAATCACATATTTTGAATTACTAGTAGTTCTAGTTTTAACAGGCTGGACAAAGAAACCTGAATTACTTCCCAGAACAATCATTTTCCTACAAATATAAAAAGGACTTTGTCACTCACTTCTTGATCCCTTAAATTTGTATCTCCTGCAAATATAACAGTCGCTGATTCTGGAGCCTCCTGGATTTTCTGTAGAACCACTTTTAACTGATTCATCCGTTCCACGGCATGGCCCCTGGTGCTCTCCAAATGGGAGGTCATAAGGTAAAGTTCATTCCCGGACAAACTCACCTGCAATGGGATAAACAATTACCATCATTAAAATGATCCACTGATCACCACGACTGAACTTCAGTAACAGAATCAACAGGCTTTTTCATCAAATGGGTTATATTTACTAAACACGATCAGCACTGGGCCTGGCGCCAATGGCTTAGTGGTTAAATCCTCATATTGCAAGCACTAGGATCCCATATGGACACTGGTTTTTGTTCCAGCTGCAACACTTCAAATCCAGCTCCCTGCTTATGGCCTAGGAGAGCAGTGGAGGATGACTCAAAGCCTTGGGACCCTACACTTGCATGGGAGACCCAGAAGAAGCTCCTGACTTTGAATCAGCTCAGCTTAGACTGTTGCAGCCACTTTGGGGAGTGAACGAGCAGATGAAAGATTTTTATCTCCATATTCCTCTATAAATCTGTCTTCCCAACAAAATAAATAAATCTTTAATTTTATGGACCTGGCACACAGACACTGTGTTTTCTTTTTCATTTCTTCCACCCTTGTGTTGGTTATTCAGTGGCGCATTTTTCAACTCCATGGTGCTGTAAATTTTCTGTTTTAGCTTCATTCCTGTTGGTGACTTTGTTTCGTGGCTTCTCATTTAAGGGAATATGTAGTGACGGCATAATAGATACTATCACATTCAGATGTGAAGATATAATGCAGTATGCATCCCTACTAACAAATCAAAGACAGACTCCCAATGAAACTGCTGGACATACCTAGACAATGGGATGCTGGACTGTCTGATGTTGTCTGTACCAGCAATGTCAGGGCACACTTAAATAACAGACTGATGCACTTATGACAGCTTGTAAAGGACTATACTGTTGTAATAATATGGGGAAAATGAGTTGGAGGGTGGGAATTTGAAGAAGGGGTAGATAAATAAAATAAGAATCATTTACCACTTGGAATTCAGATACCCATACTGGTGGTCTGTGCTGTACAGTAGGGAAAGCTGACAACCAAAATGCTGGCATCATGTAAGGGTGCAAGTTCATGTCTTAACTGCTCCACTTTGACTCCAGATCTCCGCTAATGGCCTGGGAAAGCAGACCAGGGTGACCCAAGAGCACAGGTCCCTGCCACTAACGTGGAAAACAAAAGCTCCTGATTCAGCCTGACCCAGTCCTGGCCATCTGGGAAGTGAACCAGCTGATAGAAGACCTCTCTCTCTCTCTTAGCTCTTTGAAAAAAAAGAATAAATCCTTAAAAAAAAAAGGAAGAAGAAAGGCAGACACGCTGCAGGATGTCATCACACTAACCACGGCAGACCCAAGTCTCATTTCATGGCACTGGCCTTCCAGCTCTTGTGCGCTCCAGCTGCTGTGACTTTCCACCCTCGTTCCTGTCACATCACCCATTTCAGGCTCTAAGAGCCACTGCACATGATGGGGGTTCGTTACCCACCCACCCAGCCACCCCTCTTGAGATTTACAGAAGCGTCTCCATGGTGGGCTCTCAACCTGGACTCTTTCTAATGTCTTTCTTATATACGTACCAAAGCCACATTCAAATATCACTCAGCAGTCTGGCCGAAAGTCCTTTCACATCGCTTTACCCTTCTCCTATGGCACATATGTCTTTCCTATGTCCTACTTACTATATATTATATACAATCTCCCCTAAGAAAATTCAACATTGTGTAAGAGCAAGATCTATTTGATTCAGTTTTGCAAGTCTCACAGGGTACAACCTAGGCCCATACACAAGAGAGTAAAAACATTAGGAGGCAAGTGGGACGCTGGAAAACACTCAAGATAACTGTTAATACTGAATCTATATTAAGACTTCCAAGAGCCACCACTGTGCTTCAGTGGACCTTACTGCTGTCCCATACCTGAGTGCTCCCTGCTAATGGGCCTAGGAAAGCAGAAAACGGCCTACGTACTTAGGTCCTTGTGTACCATGTGGGAGACTCGAATGAAGCTCCTGGCTACTCTTTCCAGCATTACCCAGACCTGATTCATGTGGCCAATTGGGGAAGCAAATCATCAGATGCAAGATATCTCTGTCTCTCTCTGTCAGCCTTTCAAAGTTAGAGAATAAATACATCTTTTTAAAATAGAAGTCAATTTTACAAGTATATCCATATTAAAAGTTTACATAAAAACTAAATTCTTTACTTATTTATTTTTATTGGAAATTTAGACAAACAGAGGAGGAGAGACAGAAAGATATTCTATCCACTGATCCACTCCCCAAGTGGCAGCAACGGCCAAAGCTGAGCCAATCCAAGGCTAGGAGCCTCTTCCAGGTCTCCCACGTGGGTGCAGGGTCCCAAGGCTTTGGGTCATTCTCCACTGCTTTCCCAGGCCACAAGCAGGGAGCTGGATGGGAAGTAGGGCTGCCAGGATTAGAAATGGTGTCTAAATGGGATCCCGGCACATGCAAGGCCAGGACTTCAGCCATTAGGCTACCACACAAAGCCCAAAAACTAAGTTCTTTAACATTGCTTACAACAACCTATGTGTAAAGAAAACATTTTTACCTAATGGTAACAGTTTTCAGAAAACAACACCATAGATTTATAAACATTCTTTTGTTTTGTTTTTTCCTTTTAAAAAGTCAATTTTAAAATGGCTTACTTGCACACACAAAAGGTTCCTCATCATTTTGGTATTTGGAAAAGGAATTATCTCTTGGCTTTTTAATTTCACTCTGGATTTCTTCAACATTATAGCTGTGAAATATCCTTCTTCATTACCTAAAAATGTTGTGGAAAAGAATTTAGGCTGAGAAGATCAAGGGTGTTTTCAGTCTACAATAAATTTCTGACCTGAAGATTTTGTAACAATCAGGGAACAGATACACTAGTTCAAAACAGTCCAAGAAAACAAACAAAGCCACGTGCTTACCAGACCCTCTGATAAAATCTAACTGGAAGTAGAGAAGGCAACAAAACTATGAGCATTGTGTCACAGCAGTGCAAACTGCCACCTGGAATGTTCCATATTCTGTATGATGAATGCTGCACGGAGTCCTGGCTCCACAATTTCCAAACCAGATCCCTGTTAATGAATCTGGGAAGCAAAGGATGCTGGCTTGAGTACTTGGGTTCCTGCCGCCACGTGGGAGAAGCAGATGGAGTTAGCGCTGCCGGCCTCATTCATCCCCAGCCACTCACTGGCACTTAGGGCAGGAACCAATAGATGGAACATCTCTCTCTCTCTCCCTCCTCCTTTTCTATCACTCTGCCTTTCAAATGAATAATTAAAAAAAAAGGTATATACCAAAATAATTAATGCTATAAATAGGTAAGAAATACCTATAACTTGGGCCCAGCGCAACAGAGTAATGGTTAAGGTCCTGGTCTTGAACGCACCGAGATCCCAAATAGGCGCCGGTCCTAATCCCAGCAGCTCCACTTCCCATCCAGCTCCCTGCTTGTGGCCTGGGAAAGCAGTCGAGGAAAGCTCAAAGCCTTGGGACCCTGCACCAACATGGGAGACCCGGAAAGAAGTTCCGGGCTCCTGGCTTTGGATAGGTGCAGCACTGGCCGTTGCGGTCACTTGGGGAGTGAACCATTGGATGGAAGACCTTCCTCTCTGTCTCTCCTCCTCTCTGTACATCTGCCTTTCCAATAAAATAAATCTTAAAAAAGAAAGAAAGAAATACCTAAAACTCACACAGCAGGTAAGACTTGGAGACAAACTAACATATGCTTAAAGAACAGGATGGAAAGGAGTGAATGAAAGCTCCTGGCAGTTTTCCAGGAAAGAGAGAAGCAGACCCAGAAGTGGTAACTGCTTTAGCGAACAGAGAATCATGGACAGAGGAGAATGTTCTGCCACAGCCTAGAAACACTTGCACTTAACACAAACATACCACAAAAAGTACAGTTTCAAGCATTCAAGCAGAGTAGGCTGTCACCTATAATGCCAGCATCCCATATGTATGCTGGGTTCAAGACCTGACCCATCCACTTCCAACCCAGCTCCCTGCTACTGCACCTGGGAAAGTAGCAGAAGATGGCACACAAGTTCGGATCTCTGCAGCCATGTGGGGAATAAGACAGCAGACAGAAAATATCTGTCTCATTCTAATTCTGCCTTTTAAATAAAGTAAAGCAAGCTTTGCCCTCATGGTGGTCTGCTTTCAGAAAGGAGGCAAAACAAGCTTTGCCACCTAAAATCCAGAACCAAGAAAGCTGAAGGATTCTGGAAGAGAAATGGTATGGACTCAGACTAAAGGCCTCTCCACCCTGGGAGCTGGGGTTCTTCCTCCCTCACCCACCCCTTGGGGCACAATACCCGTCCCTGATACGGGATACTAACTTCTAGTTGGCTTTTTAATGCCTGGCGTTTAAATGTGAACAAGATCAATAAGTCTAAATGATATGACATAACCAAATAAAAAAGAAGAAGAAACTAAAGTAATGCTTATAAAGAGACCAACATGTAAAATAAACTAACGACTAATAAAAAATGTCTTACATGATAAGGTATTGCCTCTATAAACCAAAAATATATTATTGAAAAAAAAAAAAAAGACATCCAATGAATAAGAGGCCTGGGAAATTAAAATAATGATATGGAAAAAATAAGACCCGAAAAAGTGAGACATGAAAACTACAGAGTCAGCTCAAGAGACTGTAACATGGGAATTACCAAAAAAAAAAAAAAGGATTGGAGGGAGGAATTATGAGGAAGAGAGGAACAGAAGGAAAAGAAAATAAGCAAGAAAGGGGAAAAGAATGAAAACAGAAGGGACAAGGGAGGGAAGAAAGGATGCCCAGGTGCCAGTCCCAGCCTTGGCTCCGGAGTCCGGCTTCCTGCTTGGCAGGCTCTGAGAGGCAGCGGCGAGGCCCCAGGCACCTGGACCACACCCCTGCTCCCGGCTCAACCCTAACCCTGTCCTGCTTTCCCAGCACTGAGAGCGAACTGCGGGACGAGTGGGCTCTCTGCCCATCGTTCCCTTTCTCTCTCCAGCTCAAGAGGGGGAAAAAAAAAGACGAAAGGACACAAGAGTTAAGAATCACTGAAAGCTTCAGAGATTCAGGGAAAACAGGAATGAGCGACAACAGACTAATCATTATCAGACATTTAACAACACCTTGACAGTTCTGAGGGAAAACAACTTTCTACTCAGAAAACTATGTCCAGCCAAACTACCAATCAACTATAAATGTTTCAGGATTCAAAAACTGGGGTAAGTGCAGTAACACAGCAAGCTAATGCTCTGTCTTGTGTTGCTGGCACCCCAAATGGGCACTCCACTTCTGTTCCAGCTTTCTGCCTATCGAATGATAAAGCAGCGAAGGATGACTGAGGGCCCTAGGACCCTGGACCCATGAGGGAAACCCAGCAGAAGCTCCTGGCTTCAGATTGGCTCAGCTCTGACCACTGTGACCATTTGGGGAGGGAGCCAGCAGACAGAAGATCTTTCTGTCTTTCCTTCTTGTTGTCAGTCCACCTTTCAAATAAACAATCTTACAAAAACAAACAAACAAAAAACCTTACTACTTATTCACTTATTCTAGAAAGTAATCAGAGAAAGTTTTAATAAAATGAGGACCAGAAATCCAAATAAGAGAAGCAAAAGAATTCCCAAGAAAATGCAGAAAAGTAACACATGGAAACTGACCAGAAATCCTCTACCTTTACAATTTTCAATAGCAAATGAAAATTAAGTGAAAGTTAAATATTGTGAAAATCATCAGACATGGCCAATGTGACACCTCAAATGTACTATACAAAAAGCAATATAGATGGAAAACTGAAAGCTAAGTTATTCAGGCTAAAAACTCATAGATACTTTTTTGAAAAAGGATAATCATAAAGCAATATCATATTAAAAAATATTAACAGGGGACTGCCTGTAGAGTGTGAGTTCCAGGTTTGCTGTGGGTGGAGAGTGGCCTGCATGTGGCCTGGGAGTGGCGCCCTGGAGAAACTGCAGCAGGTCCTGAGCGGTCAGGATGACAAGGAGCAGGACCTGACCGCGCAGCTGCTAGATGCCCAGACCCTTAGCTTTAACAGCAGACTGAAATGGTTCATTACATACTTCATAGATGGCATTTCCTTTTCTCTCCTTGGAACTGGCCGGCTGTGGCTGCCTGGGGACATAAGTTCTTTGCCATGTTTTAAACCCTTGGGATCCTCACTGCCTTTGACACCTGCTTTTTTTTTTTAACTTTTTTTTTTTTAAGGATTTATTTATTTTTATCAGAAAGTCAGATATACAGAGAGAAGTAGAGACAGACAGAAAGATCTTCCAACTGCTGGTTCACTCCCCAAGCAACCGCAATGGCCAGAGCTGAACCTACCCAAAGCCAGGAGCCCGGAGCTTCTTCTAGGTCTCCCACATGGCTGCAGGATCCCAAGGCTTTGGGCCATCCTCGATTGCTTTCCCAGGCCACAGGCAGGGATTCGGATGGGAAGTGGGGCCGCTGGGATTAGAACCCATGACCATATAGGACTCCGGGGCATGAAAGGTGAGGACTTTAGCTACTAGGCTACCACGCAAGGCCTGAACACCTGCTTTCAAATGGGACCCATGAAACAACTGTAGAAAATGTTTGAAATAACAAGATTGCCTGCAAGCATTATTATGTTTCTGTGTTTCTTCTGTATGTTGTGCACCATCTTTTGATGGCACAAGAAAGGGTTAGCCTTATTATTTTGCATATTATAGTTCTTGTCTATGACCTGGTAAAATCTGTCATATATCCCTTATGCAAGGGACGCGGTGATGAAGTGCTGTTCTTCCCTTCTGAACTAAATGTGGCATTGTCCCCACCTGACCGACCCTGCATGGTGAAGGTAGCTCTTCCTGCAGAATGGTCACCCCAAGACCTGGCTGTTTTGTGTGCAGGTAAAACCTGCTACATACCTATTCAAGTTTGCTTTAAAAATGTTTTTAACAGAGGAGGGAGCGCAGGGGCAGTGCTAATCCTCCTCCTGTCGCACCATCATCCAATAATAGGCACCGGTTTGAGTCCCAGTTGCTCCACTTCTGATCCAGCTACCTGTTAGTGAGCCTGCGAAAGCAGTGAAGGGTGGCACAGGTTCCTGGACCTGGAAGAAGCTCCTGGCCCCCAGCATTGGAACAGTTTAGCTCTGGTCATTGCGACCATTTGTGGAGTAAATCAGCAGGTGGAAGATCTCTCTTCTCTGTAACTCTTTCAAGTAAAAATAAATAAAATCTTTTTTAAAAATTTAACAATTTCAACTCAAAGATCAGCATCTCAAATTTTAGTAAATTCATATTTCTCTGGAAAATTATCTATTTTAATCACTTTCTACATGTATTAAGTTGTATAAAATGTCTGTAATTCTTTCAGTATCCCGTGTCTTGCTTAGTCTTAAACTTCCTCATTTGTGCCTTTTACTCTCTGTGTGTCAAAAGACTAATCTTACTTATCTATTCACTGAGCTACCATCAAACAAAAAGAATTAACAAGAAAATTGTTACCTGCAATAATTTCATAATTACTTGCTCGCTTCTTTAGGTAGCTATAATATGGCGGGATTACTTCCTGTAGAAATATCACATCTGGGCTGTACCTAATTAAAAACATCAGTTTATGGTAAATCCCAGGTATACCATTTTAACTTTACCTACCACAGGAAGGAAATTCATGAAATAAACACGAAAGCGCAAGAGTACCTGATAGCCAACATTTACACTAACCTTTAACCACCACAGAGTGTTCTGCGCTGTTTTAACACACAACACTGTAATCATCAACCTCAAAAGAACTGCAATTACTGACAATACAGGTCGCTATCCTGAGAGCCTGCAATTGGTATGACTAACACTGGTACCAACAAGCTTTCCCAGTCACCTCCTTCTATCCTCTGCAAAGTTACTACTGACAATAAAGAAAAACTTCAGCAGAGCCACAAACCCAGTACAGAACAGGAGATTCTCTGGGCAACTTTGCACATCAGGGCTCACTGTGGGCTCCCAGCCACAGTTCAACAGGTAGATAATACTTGGAGGCTTCCTCTCCATCCCAAGCCCATCTGCTCTCAGACACTTTCCAAGGCTCTTTCTCATAGCAGGATTTAGAAGCACGCTCCCATAGGAAAGCCTGCAGCCCAGGGCTGCTCCGGCCTACATACACAAGATACATCCTATCACGGTGCCAACCACTGCCCAGCAGAGACCATACTCACAAAGCTAGGTAGGAACACACTCCCCGAGCCCTCTCTTGCAGGTGGTTTAGATCCAATCCATCAATGTTCCAGGTGATGAGAGAGAACATGCTGCCATCCTCCTGCGTGGTCTCGGACCGGCTGGCTTTAGAACTAATGGAGTCACTTGTTTCTTCACTGGTGAGATCAACACTGACAAGACCAGAATAAAGCAGAACTTGGAAAACAACTTATAAGTGAATTACTTTGGTCTTCATTTTACAGGTAAAATGTATCCACTTTTAGAAGAACAAAAGTCATGACTGAGGAAAAATTCTTACCATGTAAGCCAGAGACCTGCTCATTTACAGTTGGCCAACTCATTATCCTTCAGTATGTCTCTAACATAATCTTATAAACTGTAACCCCAAGTTGCACTAAGAAACATAGCAAATCTTAACCAAAATTAAGACATTTTCCCTTCCTTTCATATCTGAACCAGCGAACACCAACTAAACATACTGTAAATTACCTGGGACTAGTCTTATCAATAATGTCTGCCTAAGCGTATCAGGTGCCAGGCCCGGGATAGCATAGGGGCTAAAGTCCTCACCTTGAACGCTCTGGGCATTGGTTCTGATCCCTGTGGCCCCACATCCCATCCAGCTCCCTACTTGTGGCCTGGGAAAGCAGCTGAGGATGGCCCAAAACCTTTGGACCCTGCACCCGTGTGGGAGACCAGAAAGAAGCTCCTGGCTCCTGGCTTCGGATCAGCTCAGCTTGGATAGTTGCAGACGCTTGGGAGTGAACCATCGCACGGAAGATCTTTCTGTTTTTTCTCCTCTCTGTATATCTGCCTTTCCAATAAAAATAACTAAATCTTAAAAAAAAAAAAAAAAGATTTTCAGGTGTCCTAAGGCCCAATTAAAGAGGAATGTGCAAACAGCTCAAGTCCATCCCAAATACCCCTCCACCCAACCAACTCCACATCAACCTGATACCCGGGCTTTCCCAGGCGACTGTTACAGAACCCTGCCTGGAAACCTGCCTCACGGTCAACGGGCCTCATCTTGACTTCGCCCTGCGGCTTGCCCCCTTTCTCTGATGGAAAGGACACAGGTTGGACCCAGAGCGCGTTCTCTGCCCACGCCTGCCGGCTTGAAGTCAACCCTCTTCCTCTTGCCAACTCTCGTTTCTGCAGAGCTGGTTGTCTGCCCAACCTACCCGGGAACAAAACCTCCCGCGCCTCCAAATTCAAACCCCAGCGTGGCGGCCCTTCGCCCGCTAGGGGCCCACATCCCCGACCCTCTCACCAGGCCGCGGGCTCCGACGGGCGGCTCTCCGAGGCGCTCTCCTCCTCCGGCCGCTCGAAGTACGAGTCCAGCGCCCTCTGAAAAGCAAAGGCACACGGTGGGCCGCGCGCTCCTCGACGCGGGCCGGGGCGGAGGAAGACAGGCAGGCCGTACTTCCATCTCCCAGTCGTTCTCGGCTAGGTAGCACTGCGCCACGGCCACGTCGCAGCTCGCCACGGCAGCGAAATCCACACACTGGAGCCGCCGCCGCTTCGCCTCGGGCTCTTCCTCTTCCGACTCCATCTTCCCTCCGCCCCGCAGGCGGAGCACACCTGCAACAGGCTCCGCCTAGGGGCCTGCCGCCATGACGTGAGAGGTCCAGGCCGTGCGTGCGCGTGCCCGCGGGGCGGGGCGGGCTGTACGTGCGCGGGCTCCAGGGGGCGGGGCGAGCCGTGCGCGAGCCCCAGGGGGCGGGGCGAGCGGGGGGCGGGGCGGACAAGTGTGCGCGAGCTCCAGGAGGCGGGGCGGGGGCGGGGCGGGCGAGTGTGCGCGGGCTCCAGGGGGCGGGGCGGGCCGTGCGCGAGCCCCAGGGGGCGGGGCGAGCGGGGGGCGGGGCGGGCCTGCACGAGCGCCTGGCGGCGGGGCGGGCCTTGTGTGCCCGCGCGCTCGAGGTCCAAGGGGCGGGGCGTGGGCGTGTCCGTTCCGCCCCCTCAGCGTCCCCGGCCTTCGCGAACCCGCGCCTGGCTGACTTTCGGAGTTTGTCCTTGCTCGGAATCGGGAGGCCGCCACCCGCTTCACGATGAGCTCCTTGACGCAGACTGTGCGAGAAGTGTTGAAAGTCATGGGCAAATCTCCCAATTTTGACCGAGTGTGTGACAAGGTATTGAGGGTTTTCCTGCAGGGTGGGAAGGGGATTCCGGCGCCGGGCGCGCCGCGAGAGCCGAGGAGTTGCAGCTTGCCAAGGTGACCAGAATTTGAGTGAAGCCCCTGTCATGTTCTGGAATGTCGAACGGCTACACTGGTTTAATCTGAGCTTGTGTGCTTTTGATTGGTTCTAGAGCCAGAAAGGACCTGGGCATGGGATCTGTCAGGTGCCTGGAGGGAAGCGGTAAACAGCATTACAGTCTAAGTGGTCCGAAGACAAATCCTCGCTTGTTGATACCGCTGCTCTGGGCCGAGTGGTGGGCGGCAGGGGAAACTGGTGTGGGAAGTGCCATGGGGCACCGCCTCCTGCAGCACCAGGCTTGGGGGTGGGGGAGGAAGGCGAATGCAGCAGGCGTTTGAGGGAATTCCTTTAGCAGAGAAGGAAGGGAAAAGTGTCCCTTCAGTTAGGTGGGGCCAGTCCTGCTTTCTTGTCCCCTTTGGCATGGATAGACTAACTCAGATTTTTCCAGTGTCTGTAGAACGTCTGGCTTTTTAGGGCACATTTAGGAATGCATGACTTAGAGAAACCTTTAGTATTAGTAGATGTGGAAGATGCTAAACAACCTAAGGATTTTTAGGGTTACTTTAAAAATATTTTAATGGATGTGTATCTGATCAAGTCTCCTCCCTTAGAAAACAACTTTCAGGCTGTACTTTAATTTGCATTTATTTTGATTTATTTTCCCTCAAGGATTAAAAGTGCAAATATCCATGTATATAATATTATACTAATACATGTACGTATATAGTATTATACTAATACATATTCATACATGTATACACATACCATATGTAAAGTTTTCATGGTCTTCCATATCTTTTATTTTTGTGTTGTCTTGAGTGTCAAATGTATGGAGGGTTTTTTTTTTCCTAAGAAATGATAATTATTATGTTCTTGTTGGTTGTAAACTAAACCTGAAACTCAAGCTCATCATACAGAATTTGTAATTTTCTAGTATGGGCAATTAAGTACTTATGTATGCCCTGACCAGCATAGTACTCCTGAGAGTGAACAAATCAGAAACAAGATTACTATAGCCATTGTCCCATCTAAGCAGGATGCGGGGACCATGATTGCTAGAGAGGGTTTGGGGATGAAGCACCAACAGGAGACCAGTGATGGTAGAAGTATCTCTGTAGCCTCCCTTTATTATACCTTTTACACTCTTTCTGCCAAGTCCTTTAGTCAAACAATAAGATGCCAGTGAGTCCTATCAGTCTAGGTGCTTTTAGCCACAAGCCCATTTCCTGTTACTGCTCAGTTTAAGAAGTGCCAATTAACTCCTGAGCCCACAACAGGTCCCCCTGTTTTGTTTTAAGGCAGACTTGAATGTGCCTGTCCTAGGTTGTGGGCTCTCAGGTTATCAGCCTTACCAGTCATCGGGGATCTCCGTAGCATGACAAGAAACGCTGTCTTAGGTTGGTCAGTGCCCGGTTTGTCTTACCTGTCACTGGCTGCCATTCAACGCATTGCCTGCTGCAGCTACACAAACCATACTTGGGGAGGCTGGGAGCCCTGTTCCCATGGCTAGGAGTATCTTGAGCATGGAAGCAATAAGCAAACAGCCATTCCTGGGCTTGGAAAACATTGCACTTGCACAGGTGTCACACATAAAGGCATATGATGGGGAACAAGAGGCCTTGACCATATCCTACAGCATCTGCTGCTCCTCTGCCAACAAATCAACCCGCTGTTACACTGTAAGCTTGCCCACCCACACGTGTTCATCAATAAAGTCCTGTTGTTCCTTAACTCTGGCAGTCTGTTCCGCGAGCTTGTTCACTGTCACACAGTAGCTGCTGGTGCCAGCTTCCGACGTACTGGCCACCATGGTCGCCATTATGCCAAAGTCTCTTACGCTTATCAGGCCAACAGAGGCCTCTCTGTTAGCACTGACAGGCACAGGCAGAATTCCGGGCAGCTGCATGATAACAGCAGTACTGCAATAGCCATTCCAATATGCTGTTAGGGTGCAGTTGACCTTGGTATAATTGACTTCAGAGGCGTTTCTTGTCCCATCACTCTTCCGACTCAAATGCCATCACCATGGCCAGTACCTGAGCTTTCACAAGAGTCAGCAGCAGGAGCTTGCCGGACAATCCTCTCAGGAATCCACCGTGGGCCATTTTCATTTTCTGGAAAAACAAATGGATCCTCGCCCCCATGAGGACGGGATCTGGGCCTGGCCACTGACTAGTCAAAGGATCCTTCCACATCACATAACCCTTCTGCTTCCGACGTGGATTCCAGTGATGATCTGCAGCATACCATCCTTCACATTGGAATGTTAGAAAATTTAAGATAAATAATACAAGGTTCAAATGATCTCAGGGAATGCTATACTCCCCCTTTTTTGTTTTCATAAGATAATCCTTAATAGTACGGTTGGCACGTTCCACAACACCTTGTCCTTGAGGATTGTAAGGAATACCTGTAATTAGTTGTATATGGTGTAAGGCAGCAAAATCACAAAATTTACTGCTGTTAATAGCAGGGGCCATTATCAGTTTTAATAACTTTGGGAGTTCCCAACATGGAAAAACATGCATTGCAATGGGCTAGAGTGTGCCTGACTTGTTCCCCTGTCTGAGGAGTAGCTAGAATAAATCCAGAGCAAGTGTCTACAGTAACATGCACATACTTCAGTGTCCCAAACTCTGGGATGTGTGTCACGTCCATTTGCCAGACAAGATTGGGTAACAGTCCTTGGGGATTTATGCCATAATGGGGAACAGGCAAAAATTGAGGGCACACTGAGCATTATTTCACAATGGTTCTGGCTTTTTCTTGGTCAAACTAAAGTGCACACGAAGGGTGTTGGAATTCAACTGAAACCTAGCTTGTGCCTTTGCGCTTCCTCAAGGGCCAAGGCTACCAATTTGGAGGCAGTATCTGCAGCCACATTTTATGCCCTTGCCGTGAGGATATAAAGCAGGGCCTTAGATCTGAGCTACAGGGTTGCTTACTATCTTTAGGGATAGTATAAACTAAAAGCTGTCAAATAATAGTTTTATAAAACATTTATCCCAAAGGCCTATTGCCTTGTTATAAATGAGACAGAAGTGCAGGTTAACAATAAACTTAAATATTAATATATTGATGACAACATATTTTTGAAACAACCTATTTGTAGTTTGTTACATAAATCAAAGAAATCCGTGTTAATTAGTAATCTTATTGTTGGACAAAGTAAATTAGTTTTTACTATTGCAATCCTACCAGAAAGCTACGCAAAAAAAAAAAAAGGTATGCAAATTATGTGCCCTGTTTGCAGCTGAGGATCCAGATAGCTGATGAAACAGAGATGAATAAATTTACTCGCTTTAAACTTAATTCACAAAAGCTAGAATATTTTCTGACCAATAAACAAACAGTAACACATGATAGCAATGTTAAACAACTTGTACAAAAGACTAACGTAGAGACATGTGCGCACACACACACACACACACACAAAGACACACAATTTTGGAGACTTAAAAAAATTATTCTCAATCAAACTTAGTAGAGTAGTGTTCACCAGAAACAAGTAACTGAAAAGCCATCAAATAAACAGTCTTGGACCAAGACCTTGAGAGAGGAAAGTTACCACTCTGAAATCCCTCCATCATTGCAACAATGCAAATCCCAGTAATACAGCTATCCTAAGAATACGTAGTGAACAACCAGATACAACTGTAGAGCTAAATCATTAAAAGCGCGCAAACTCAAATTTAAACCTTCACAACTCCACAGATGTATACAACATTTTCACATGACAGAATTTTACTCCATTTAGCAATAATTTTAATATAATCCAATCAACCTGATTAACTGTTTCCACAAAATGGGAGATCAATCTTTGGCATTCTTGAGACTTCGTAAGAATACCAAGGGAAGCCCTAGGATTGAAAACTTTTGAATTTTTGGATGCTTTTTTTTTAAGAAGATTTATTTATTTTTATTACAAAATCAGATATACAGAGAGGAGGAGAGAAAGAGAGGAAGATCTTCCATCTGCTGATTCACTCCCCAAGTGAGCCGCAATGGCTGATGCTATGCCAATCCAGAGCCAGGATCCAGAAACTTCTTCCGGGTATCCCACACGGGTGCAGGGTCCCAAGGCTTTGGGCTGTCGTCAACTGCTTTCCCAGGCCACAAGCAGGGAGCTGGATGGGAAGTGGGGCTGCCGGGATTAGAACGGGCGCCCATATGGGATCCTGGGTGCGTTCAAGGCGAGGACTTTAGCCGCTAGGCCACGCCACCGGGCCCCTTGGATGCTTTTTTAAAAATGGCTAAAAACATCTGAAACAAGATTTTTTGTTGTTGGAGTTAGCATAGCACGTTATAGATTAGACTCAATTATTGACATGAAATCATCACTCAGATACCTTAAAGCAGTGAGAAATTTGATAACCAGCCAAAAACACAAGAATTATTTTAAACTATAAAAATGCTTTGT